TTGCCGTTTGAGAATCTCAATATGGGGTGGGCTGAAAAGGAGGCCTTTCAAATTGTAGCAAGAAAAAAAGAGCTAAAATTACTCACCGTTCACAATGCGGGGATAATATCGTTTTTCAAAGCCAAACCCGTCACCCTCCAAGGAGTTCAGAGCCCTCTTGTCAAAACCGAATCCATCTCCTTCGATAGAATTTAATGCACGTTTATCAAAGCCGAATCCGTCACCCTCGATCGAGTTCAAAGATCGCTTATCAAATCCGAATCCATCGCCCTCAATTGAGTTCAAGGACTTCTTATCAAGACGGATGCCAGCTCCGTCAAATGAATTCACGAATCGCTTATCGAAGCCGAAGCCTACACCTTCCAATGAGTTAAGCGCCCTCTTGTCGAAACCGAAGCCGGTCCCTTCCAGTGAGTTCAGGGACCTCTTGTCGAATCCGAACCCTACTCCTTCTAGTTCGTCCAAAGCTCTTTTCTTCTTGTCGAAACCAAAGCCGCGTCCTTCTAAACTATCCAACGCCCGCTTTCTGCGATCTGAAAAAGGTATCTTTGGCCTTCTCTCAGTCACGCTTCAGTGTCCCATTCGGGACTGACTCGCAAAGTAACTCACTCAACACCTTCCTCAGCCCACTGGAGCCACTACCGTGAACTTCATCTAAAGAAGTGTACGTCGCATCTGGCAGAGCACAGATGAGCTGTGTGCAGCCAAATAATAACTGAAAAGCATTTAATCAAAGAACGGGAATAAAACATAGAAAAATTTCAGCCAATTTTGGTTTTAGCACGTACAAAGCGCCTTTTAAGATAGAACAGTTGCCAATTGCTTGCTTACTCTTTCTTTATTTCTATTAAGCAACAGACAAAACCTCACCACAAAGCGAGCCAGAGAAAACAACATGTGGGGGTACCCGATGTCGAGTAATCACTGAAAGATAATGCACTTATTTACGAGGAACAAAACACAAAAGCTTGAGGCGTCATACAAATGAGGACGTCTCGTGATTACAACTGTGCAAATGACGAAATTCGCGAATGAGGAGCTTAGAAGAGTAAAAGAATTGACAGTTGTCCCGAGTTAGTGAAAATCATTAGCAGAAAACTGTATGCAAATGAACATATTATGATTCTATTTCGAGTAGAAAGACGGCCAAAAACGTAAAGTTTCAAAGAGCTGCTGAGAAGAATATGTTTGACTGAAGAAGGTTCAAAATGATTTTCCAAAGAGAATTCTTTTTCAGCTTGTACCGAAAATTTCCAAATTGGTCATCTCTTCAGATCTCATCAAATCATCAAGCCGAACGAATGAACATTGCCGAACTG